ACACATTTTTTGGTCGAACACTTTTAGCTTTTCACTTTTGGCCGGCGTGGTACAAATTGAAATAGTGTATTTTTTACTTTTTGTGGTAGAAAAGAAAAAAATATATATCAGCAGATATCAAATATCACTTATAGCAATAAATTAATTCACCAAAATCTATAATGCTCTACGTATGATATAAAAAGCCCATGTGATAAAGCCAGAATCAGAGCAGAAAATATCATCATTATGATGCAATGCTACTGCAGACATGGAGCATTAAGGAAACTTTCCATTCTGACCATCCTTTTGCCTCATGAGAGGGGAATTTGGGGCTGGGATGGGGCTTGGACACTGTCAAACCTCATTCCAGTGTCTCCCTGGATAAATGTGTTTATGTGTTCCTCCTGATGGGAGGGGAAGCTCATCTGCTGCTGCTTTTTGTCCTTCATCCTTCATTCTTGGGCTCTGTAAGTAACTGTTTCCCAGAGGCTCCAAAGCTCCAGATACGAAGGCCAAGGAAGAATTGTTTTCTCTTATATTAGACTTCAAAACTCTGGACTCTTTATTATGAACAAACCCAGGATGCTGTTTATTTTTTAATATAAACGCATATTAGTGAAATGAGAATCCTTTCCTGTTCTCATCTACACTGATAACTTTTGCCTGGCATTCCCATTTCAGCTGATCGGCTTTTCTCAATACCACTGAAACTTTTAAATGGAAAAATTTCAAATGAAGAATCTCAAATTGGAAGGGATCCATAAGGATCACAAGGTCCAGCTCCCTGTTCCTCACAGAACTACCTAAAACTAAATCATATGGCTACCATTTGGTTAAATACTCTGGTGAAAGATTTGTCTCTCAGGACTTCTGGGAGTGTTGTGATCCCTTGGCTCAGTGACAAGATGAAGATTTTTCTCTGACAGCAAGCAGACAGGCACCTAATGGAATAGAGGCAGAAGTAAGTGAGAGTTTAGTTCTTGAAATAGCAGCAAATGTGAAGTTATTGATGCAGATCTAGCAGCTGCAACTGCAAATACAGCTCTGGTGTTTGACCAAGGGAATTCATTAAAAACAGACAGGAGAGAATGATTTAATTATCTGATGCCCTGATTAGCAGCCATTTGGAAACTGCTCAAGGAGCTGAAGAGAGTTAAAATAGGATAGTCATGCTTTGGAAAGAGACCACAGAAGATTAATTGAGGCAGGCATGGAAGGGAAAGGCTCAGAAAGTTTTACATGTTTGGCCCCTGAGGTGGTGGATGAAGAGATCTTATGGTGGTACACGAAAGCCACACTGTGCTGAGGATAAATTTTGTTCAGGAGACGTTCACTTTTTGGGAGGGGTAAAACACAAGGGCACAAGGCAATGTGTGCAGGGAGAAGAGCAAGTTATGAGAAGGGACATTTCCATCCGGAGACATGGGGCAGCCTGTGCAAACAGGGGGGCTTCAGCAACAGTGTGAGTTAATGAAAGGAGGGCTGGGATGCCAGAGCCTTTTGTTCTGTCTGCTGAGGTACAGAAACAAGAGGTGATGGGCTGGAAACAAGGTGGAGCTCAGTTCTTTCCACCTCAGAATTTCTGTGAAGACTTGGTTCAGTCATTTGGTAAACAGGGTTGTGGCTGAGTCCAGAGGTGGTTCATGGCCCTTTTACTTGCTCAGAAACCACATGTCCAGCACAGAGGAGTTAACTCTTCTGGTTCAGCTCCTTCACAAGGTGAGGTGTGATCAAATCAGGTGAATGGTTACCATACACAGGGAAGCAGAGCAGGATGGCAAGAAAAAATGGTAAAAAATTTAAACTTCATAAAATGAATAGAGAAATGCATTCAGTGACAGAGAAGGTACAGGTTGTGAGGATGTAAGCATGGTAATATTATGGATATTGTAAGCATGTTTAGACATCTCTGTGATCAAAGAAGCAAAAGCTTAGAAATGACCACCAAGCATTTCCTTCTGTTCAGTATTTTTCTTTCTTTTCTTTTGGCAGTCTTAAAGCAACCTGGACAATGGTTGGCCAAAATCAACTCCTCTTTTCTATGCAGTGATAAGGCAAGCTTGATGACTATCACACATTTTGCCATTGTGGAAACGAAGTGTAAGAATGGAAGCCCCAGTAGCACCAAAGTACTGATTGTTGCAGCACCAGTAAGATGGAGTCACACTTGTGGCCATAATTGTGGAGGGAGAAAAGGAATCTGAAATGATTGGGTTGTCTTAGATCGGAGTGTGAAATACCTGTAGGTGCTTGAGGCAAGGACTGAGCTGGGAATTAGACTGAAACAAATAAGATATGGACTACCTTCTTAGGAAATTATCTGTCACTGCTAGTGCTAAGGTACACTGAGATATCACAGTCTAAATCTACCCCAGCAGCACCTTCAATAAAATAAAATAGTAAAAGTAAAATTTACATTACAGGGAGCTTGCAGCACAGGAATATGTTTTATCAGAGTAAATGAGAGCATGACATGAAATGCAATGAATTATGCAAGTATAATAATGTAAGGGTGGGAAAGAATGAAAGGATGAGCATATTTTCAGATGGCTGCTGATCTGCAGTTTCAATTTACATCATGCAGCTGAAGAGCCTTTTCCTTGCTCTCACAGCTGGCCCTCACAAAACAGAGACCTGCAGAAGCACAGATCTCTCCATTGGCTACAAAGGCAAATATAGTACTTCACTGTTTTTCCTACTCATAACCAACCTTCCTCCCTTCCTGCCTACCAGAGGTTATAGAGCCAATTTAATTTTTCTGCCTATGCCTATACCTGCAAAGAAAGCAGGGCTAGGGTGTGATTTCAAGTGTTGTCCTATGATTGTAACACGGGGGGATGGTTAGCTGCTCCCTTGTACCGTTTTGGACCAGCCAGCATTCTCCCACCTACACCTAACCACAACTTAGGCACATCCAATAGCCATTCCCTGTACAGATTTTGACTGCAGTCTCATAGTTTAAGGATGGAGAGGAAGTTTTGCTGTGCAGATGAGAATAACACACTTTCACTTGGTCCAGCAAATATGATCTCAGTACTCATTTATTCAGTAGCTTAAATGAAGAGTATTAATCAGATTCTGTCTTCCTGGATATCCTTCTTCCTCTTGCTATTGAGGAAGCCCTTTAAGGCTGAAAGGATAAGCACCTGCCACCAATCCTTTCTCACTGCGAGATTGCAGTGGAGGTCCTCTCTAACCCATCAGTACTAGAGTGTGACCACAGTTTAATCCTGTTTGTATTAGCAGGAATCTCCAGAAGCATAGTTCTCAGCACCTCTTGGCACATGATGGGTGGAATGCAAAGCAAAATATCTTTGCATCTTACAAAGGGCCATTGAGGAAAGCCCAGACTGGAGAGCATCAGCAGCTGCTCCTCATCGGGCTCTGGTTCCAGCATCACAGAGTTGGGTGCTGGGATGTGGGCAGAAGAAAGGGGAACCATAAAAAGTGGTCTCTGCCATGTTATTAAGTCTGTTCATGTTATTAAGTCTGTACTGCCACCCCACTCACACAGAGGGACAAAACCCCCACTTACCTTTCCAGGGCAGCGTTCTTTCCTTCCCAAGAACAGGAATTATTTTAGTGATAGGAGCAGCTTTACTTTGACAGTGGTGTGAAATAAAGAAGGAAGATAGCTTTAAACTCCTTGTTTAAGTTCTTGTAGGCAGAAGTCTTTCCTGTCTCTGTGTTTTACAGGCACAGGAATTGGTCAAATGATAAGCACTACATTGAGTAGAGCAGAAAAAAAATCAGATGATAGTCTTTGAAAAAAGGAACAAAATTCCCATCCTTGATAAGATATCTATTAAAAAATACTAAATAGCCAGGAAAAAAAACCAAAAAACAGATTGCAGAGGAAACCCTCATGCATTGGTTAGAGAATAACTAAGCACATGACAACTATTACATCTCCAAATGCTATTCAAAGATGTAAAATAGGTTTTCTGTAGCATTTGGCTCCATTCATACACTGAAGAGTCTTTCTAGTAGCCTAGTTCTTATTGATACCTTATTATTGGTATGAACATGTGCTTCAGTAGCACAAAACCTTTGAGGACCACTTCATCTATTGTGCTAATTATTACACTTTTGTCTCAAAATTCTAAAAGAGCATAAGAAAGTAAATGCTAGTACCCTCTGATTTACTTTGTGAATCACTCTGATCTGCCTTTCTCTTGCCTACATGTTTGTAGTTGAGGTGGGAATCTAAGAGGAGGACAACCCAGTGGCTCAGTTTAGTGGTTCTGTGTGTGTGCTACAGATAGGGTTTCCATTCCTTCTGTCTGGTTTCCTGGCTTGGCAAAGGCAAGCAGTGTTGGATCTCCTGGATGAGTGGAGAAGAGAATATCTCAACTCTCAGCAGCAATCTCTCCAGTTAATTAATTATTTATGCTGAAAGGAGCATATAATCTCCACCACTGCCAAAATGAGAGTGGCTACAGAGAAAGGACCCAAGAAAGTGCACCATATGTAAACAGAAGGGAAATATAGGGTATCTTCACTGCTAAAAACAAGAGTAAAATAATACTTTTCATTAATACTGAGAGATATTCTGCTTCTCGCTCTGTCTGTGCACACCATGTTCTCTTGAAGGAAAAAAAAATGATGTTACACTGCAGGCATGCTGCTTGTGCCTACTTGTCACTTTTATGTTGTGAGAAGAGGCACAAATGTATACAGGCATTTCCTACAGGTTTTGCAGGCAGGAGGGGCTCTTTAATAGCATGGCAGTCACTTTTTCAGCCTCTGTCTGCGTGTGCATACGTGTCTGCAAGTTACAGAGAGGGACGCAGAGAGCAAGCTGTGCGGCTGAATTTAGAAAGTTATAGATGTTCTCATCAGCCCCATGCAATGCAGCAGAGATTCCTTCCAAAAGCCAAGGGAGCAGAGGCAGCAGACAACAGATGTGAAGGGTTTCCCATAACTGTCAATTTTCAAAGTGTTTGCATTGAAAAGAGAGGAGGTGCTATTTTGATTGATATTTCAGCCGCAGTATATAAAGCAGAGGAATTCTTCTTACCCTCTGCTTGTCACACTGATCTCACACACTCTCCGCTGGACTTGGGGCTACTACTTGCTGCATCTGAAAGGCTGAAACTCTCTGGGAATAAAGAATCCTTGTAACAATGCCAGAACCCACCAAGAAAGATGGTAAGCATGACAGAAGATTACCTGAGCGTTTCTTAATTACAGGAATTATGAGTACGCGGACACACGAAACACCTTTCAGACCACCTTGCAGATATCAGCCACAGATGATATTAAGAACAATAGCCACGTAACATCACTAGATCTTTAGAGATCACTGATCTTTTTAGACTAAGAAATTACTTTCAGGCAGGGCTACAGCACAAGCAGTTTTAGAGAATAAGCTATGACTTTGAATGGATGTTGAGAAGCTACTTGATTGGGCAAATGCTGTATTCATTTTTTAAAGACTACAGGATTCCTGCAGTGCAATTTGTGGTTTCTCTCCTCTAAGCTATCCAAACTCTGCAAAAGAGGGAAAAGGCATTTCTTAAGATTGAAAGAGTCTGGACATTGATATATTTTTAATGTTCTTTTCTAATAGTTATTGAGTGGGAAGGATGGGCTTATGTAACAGTTCTATGGTTCTGATGCAAATATATTCTATACATATAAATGCATAAGTGAAGAATGTAGTAAGTTATTCTGTACAGTTCAAACTGGAATAATGTATTTTGTCATTTTATAGAAATTGTTATTTTATGTTTCAGAAGGATTACAGTCAGTTACAGTCAGTAATATTGGCCCCTTCTGTGTTGCTATTAAGTTCATAGCAGAGAAACTGAGTATGTAGTCTGCTACTGGGAGACAGAATTGTCCAATGGAGACTGAGGAAAAAGGTGGAAAATATTGAGGGTCTATTATTTAATAATTTGTTTAAAAGCTCTTATTTTAATGATTTTTCTACTATTTTGAAAATTTAGGCTAAATAATCTTCTTCTATTTCCATTACTTCTATAGCTCTTCTTGTGTTTTTCTTTCAAATCTGTATGTTTTGGTAAGAATTTTTGGTGATTATTTTTGACATTGACTATATAAAGAGCTTTTGCAAAGCCATAATATGCAGACTGTATGTGCTTTTCAAATATTGGTGAATGAAAGCTGTACACACAGCTTCCCTAATGCATTCCCAATGCAGAACTGAATTTAATCTTTAAGGTAATCTTTAAGGTATGGAAAGTGTAGAAGTCATTAATTAGCATTTATTTCCCATCAATCTTGAAAGATCTTCCAGGCTGATGTATGTGGCTTGAACAGTTATTTTTGATTTAAGACTGACTTGTCAGTAGTATTGACTTTTAACAACTTTACAAACATTTTACAAGGTTGTTTTTTTTTTCAATATTTTCTGGAAAGTAAGAGCACAGTAACTGTCAGGAACATTACTCATTTTTGTCACGTTCTTCAGCTGGGGACACATGAAAACTAAACTTTTTGCACGACTGAGTCTTAAGCAAGCAGTATTGACAGACCAATGTGCTCACTTTACTTACTGGGCTCCTCAGGGCTCGAGGACAATGATAGATGAAGTATCCTTCTGAAAATAGCTGCACCAAGTGCACGTATTAATACAAGAGCCTAATCCTCCATATCAAACCTAGAGCCAAGCCCCTTCTAGAGTGTCTTATTTGTAATTCAAATTATTTACACATGTATTAAGTGTCCTTTTTATTTGATCTGTTATTTGACTGGGTATTATACACTTTAATCAGAATGCATTCTGTGCCTGTCAACTCAAAAAAAACCCAACCCTAAAATATTTATGCACTTTCAAAAGATATGTGCTTTGAAGAAAATTAGTTTGGAGGCTCATGTTGTTAAACATTTCTGTTTAAAATTAGATTGTTTCAAAGATGTTCTTCCAGTGCAGTGATTACCAATGCAGCTCCATGTTTGTGTTATAAAATAAGTTTAGAAGCTCTGAACATTATATTGACAGTGGAACAAAGGTGATTTTTAGTGAGTCAATATTCAGGACCTAAAAGTTATTGGAGCATTCTGCCCTAATATAATTCACAAGGAGTAGAGAGCTCTGGAGAAGTGGTACAATTGGGTTGTACTGTATTGCACCCAGTTTATTTGCAGCCAGGAGATCAGGGGAGTAACAGGTCTATATTATCTTACTTCAGGGATTAGCTGCTTCCTAAAGATTTTTTTGTTGATCAAGAGCCCCCCTGAGTTGTTGACAGTACTTGTACTGTGTGTGTGAGCACCTACTGTGTTAGTGGCAGGAGAATTTGGTACCAATAATAGTAAAATACTGCTACTCATACCAGCTCTACCAGTAAGAATTCAGAACCTCACATGATCATCAAATGCCTGTTCTCAGGGTCATCCCCAAAGCATCAAGGGTTGAAGAAAAATAATCAATAAAGGTGAATCTTGGGCTGACTAATTCTAGAAATTACCACTGGAAGGACTGTCTGAGAAACCTTTGGTGAGCTTGTTGAAGGACTACAGTAGAAAAGAGAGGGGGAAAAAGAGGCTTAAGGTTTCTGCATCACATGGGCACCTAAGCATGGTTCTTCTGACATTTCCAACAGAAGCAACCTACTTGAATTATCCCATACTCCTTATTTTCATGGGTCCTGCAAATTACAAACAGCACACACAAGCAAGTAGTTGAGAAATAAGAAGCTGGATACACTTGGATGTTTAGAACTTCTCAGATTTGTGGGTTTTTAGAACTGCAGTCCCTGAAGTACGTAGCTTAAATTTTCACAGATGGTGCTGTAACAAGCTCCCAGGCTTTTTTTTTTCAGGCCAAGTGCTCTTTGAGCTATTCTAAGATTATTAGATTAACAAAGTGAGAAAATTCCTGACTTGGTGACAGTGTAGCCTCACAAAGAGCTCTTAACAAATAGGATCACCAAATTAAACACACCACTCAGCTTAGAGATGGTTGCTGGAGAGCTTCAGCCTGATGGAATTTGTCACTGTAGAAACAGGTTTCCATGACTAATTATTTAAGGCTTTTATGGTACTCCTAAAAAGTCAGATCCTATGTATAAGATCAGCTGTAGCTTCTTTGTAGTAGATGGTCATTGGTTGTAGGACAGCTTTGTCTTGTCTGGCTCAAAATATATGTGCAAGGTGAAGTTTATATCAATGGGTTAACTGATCTCAGTGGATGACTGAGGTGTGCCTGAGTTGCCAAAAGCCTTAACCAGTGCATTTAAATTTAACAGCCTTTAGCTTTCCAGGTGACTAATAAAATAACCCTCCCTCATATAATTACTTCCTGCAATTTATTGCAATCACTCAGTCAATCTTTCCTCTCCCCCCCTTTCCTTTAACCAATACTCATAATAAGAGCTGCTCATTAATTAGGTGCCCTCTTAAGCTGTCACAGGCCATGGCATTTGGACACGCTTTTGTAAAAGTGCCAAGTCTCTCAAGAGCAACCTTTTCAAACTATTTGTGGGCATCATCCCACAGAGACAGGTGCAAGTCTGTCCCCAGTAGGCAGCTCTGTAAATTTGCCTTATTTATTCTCCCCAGTCTAGGAAATAATGCATGCCCTGAGTTACGGGACCATCCCAAATTTTGAGCCAAAGCATTTATCGACTCTCTGCCAACTTCACTTTCTAAGTGTTTGCAAGCTCTGCTTGAATGATGCTGCCTGGAGCATCCACACGTTGGCAAGGAATCAAAATTAAAATCAGTGTGCCTACTTTAGACAGAGTTTCAGTAAAATTTTATTCAATCTACAAATAGCATAGATGTAAAAGTTGTAAAGAAAACTATTTGCATATACAGTCTGTTAGAAGAACAATCTGTAAAACATGAAGCAATTTGTGAAAGGAGGCAAAGATACCAGTGCAGACTGCTTTGGAGATATGGCAACACTGCTCTCCATGAAGATATCCAGCAGAAACACACTTTACTTCTATTTGCTTTTAAACATAATTAGATTTTTTTTTCATTCATTATATTTGCATTATGTTTGCACTATTCTAAATAATACAACTGGTGTATCAAGGTAACAGTCACTGTAAAACAAGTCACTTAGTCATATAAGTCATGTAAGTAGATATGTAGAGCAGCATTCCAGTGAAAAAATAATCTAAGCATGAAGGTTAAGAGGTAATTAAAATCAGATTTATTTTAATATCATACCTTCAAGGACAATTTTTCATAGGTAAAAAGTCACTGTAAAACAAGTCACTTAGTCATATAAGTACATATGTAGAGCAGCATTCCAGTGAAAAAATAATCTAAGCATGAAGGTTGAGAGGTAATTAAAATCAGATTTCTTTTAATATCATATCTTCAAGGACAATTTTTCATAGGTGAAAACGAAGCTGAATGGGAATTCTGCTTCACTATACAGATTTGGTTTGTGTCAAAATTAAAACTACTGATGGAATTTTTTCCTGAAAATTCAAGATCCCAGCATGTGAACATTGTTCAACACTGTTTGGTGCTTTCCATGCAGAAGACTGGACCTGTATAACCATTTTATATGGCACCACGTGGGTAGTGCAGCTGCTCTCTCCTCACTGCATGGTGATGCAAAAGAAAAGCACACAGATATCCATCTTCTGCCATCATCATTGCCCCTCTGCAGCACTGACTGTAGAATGCATTCCCATTATTTTTAACATCCTTCATGCTCAGTCTCAGAGCCAAGCCACGCTCAGAGTCAGGCCCTGTGTATCATTTGCAAAGCTCCACATTCAAATCACAGGTAAATGAGTTTTGGTGGATGACGAAAGAGTGAAACCCTAACCCCTTATCTTATTTTCCCTCTCAATTCTTTAGAAAGTTTCTCTTCATCACCTCCAGCTAATAAATTTTAAACCCTCCACAAATGGAAAGCAAACTTACGCCCCAGTGCTGTAATCAGATCCCTGGGGGTGGGCAGTGCTCTCGCCCTGCGCCCCACGGAGCAGCTCCTCCCGCACAGATCGTGGGGAAGGCTGGGAGCTGGGTTGTTCTTAGATTGCCTTTTCCCTCTATTGATAACTCCTACGTGTGGCTCCCACACTTCCTTCTGAGATACCAGAGCGACTCAGATTTATGCTTTGACCTTCCACTTCCATCGCTGCTAAGTTTCAATCAGATTAATTTGACTGAAAATTCACCATGATTTATCTTTGGGCTATTATGTTTTGGTTTAT